CATTTCTTACTTAATGGAAACACCACAGTTGTGAAACTGTGTTTTTCAACATTAACAGAATATCGATAAAATTTTGCGAACATTTGTAATGGAAACACAGCTTGTGAGAGTGAAGGAGGAGTGATCGTCTCTAAGGATGAAAACATAAAGATATAACAAGGAATAAAAAATAAAACTACAAACGACTCTTTTTTTCTCAGTTCCTATGGTTTGTTGTAAAGAGTCGTTCAAAAGATTCGGATCGTTCCTGATGAAACCCTCCAAAGCTTTGTAAAACCACTGAAGCAGGAAACAAAGCACAGAAGAACCTGTAAAAGCAACGTAAAGCAGAACTTCTGTCCTCTGTATTCATGTGAGACGTTGGACACTTTGACATGTCTCCAGTCCATCTGAGGAGACAGACAAACCCACAGAGTCTAAAAATAAAAGCTGAGCACAGAAGTCTGAACAGCCTGCTGAGTTATGTGTCGGCTCAGGTGAGTGGACCTGGACCTGCTGGAGAAGTGTCTCCTCTGCTCCTTCAGCTCTATATAAGGTTATCAGTCCCAGCGGAGGACAGGCTCCGAGGCCAGGACGGGTCAGTGGACACACACACCTTACATGGGAAGGAAAATGTTGGTGTGAACTGACTGAGTGTGAAATTCCTGCTTTGCCTTAAATCCAGTCTGAACCTTCAGAGCTGATGGTTCTGTTTGCTTTGGACTGGAGCAGGAGGACGCTGACGGGTCCAGCAGGACTAGACCCAGACTTCCTCCTGATCCACGAGGCTTCACGTTGTCTTAAAGACTCTTAAAGATGAAGATAAGCCTGTCAGAAATCAGCTCCTGCCTGAAACCACGAGTCAGACCAGCTTTTATCTGTTTTTAAGACTTCTGTTTGGAGCTCGATTTAACACCACATTTCCTTTATTTCAGCTGTTTCTGGTGGGTTTTATTGAGTAAATCAGCTGCACGTGTCCCAGATTATAAATTAATTTATGATTTATTAACATCAGAACAGCCGACTGCTCGCTCTGGAAAATAAAACAACTTTTAAAGGTGCTCTGTGAAAAAAAAAAACAGCTAAACTTTAAAAGTTTTATTGTGTGGATTTTGAGTCTTTTTAGGTTGGAGCTAAAGGTTTGCATCTTTTAGTTACCATTCAGCTACTTTTAGTTACCATTCAGCTACTTTTAGTTACCATTCAGCTACTTTTAGTTACCATTCAGCTACTTTTAGTTACCATTCAGCTACTTTTAGTTACCATTCAGCTACTTTTAGTTACCATTCAGCT